GGTCGGCGGCGAGGGAGGCAATCATCGACTTGTTTTCGTTGTTGCGGCCACAGAGCGACCATAACGCGTCCGTCAACGTCCGTAGTCGTTCGGTCGCCATCGCCCAATCTGTCCTTGGACACAGATTACGGTCATTCCATCTTCGCTACGCTCACATGTCCATGGCTGATCCGATCCGATGAACCATTTTCTATTTCCTCCTCCTCGCGGGCGAAGACGACCGTTCGCCGTCGCTGGCCTCGGCCAAAGTCGACCGCTGCTCTCTGGCCGCCAGTTTCGGTTCGTTACGTATGCAACGAGGACTCGATACTCGGCCGAACAGCGCTTTCTAACGAGTTCATGAATTAGCAGATGAAAAATGAGCACTCGCTCCGACTGTCAGCGCAAAATCCCAAGTTAACACTTATTACGCTATGACTAACCAACAGATTATGTAAAAATTATGCTTCCGATGCTTCTATGTGCTCACCAGTTGCTGTTAGACGGGCAAACACCTCATGTAAATAACTGATTTATGAGTCATACCTCTGACCGTATAGCTTCAGATAAACTCAGATGAAGAGGGAACTATGGAAAAGTAATGAAGCACGTTTTCTTTTGAAAAAATGATGCAATTATAACAGCACTTTGACTATGCACTTTTTTATTTCTCTGCACCGTGAGTAGTTGATTTAAAGCATTGATTGCTATAAAACCCACAAGATTCCAACGGAATCAGAAAGGCTGACTATACCTGATTCAATGACTGATGAGAACCACCGACATGCCACACTAAACGCATGTCATTCGTATTAATACCTTTACTGCAATGCAATGTAGCCTCCGTTGACGGTGGCGTTGTGTTATTTCATAATCGATGGGTCGATGGGATCTTACCAGCAGCCATCTCGTCCATGTGCTTCGCGATGCAACTCATGGTCATTTTCACGTAAGTAACGGTTCAACTGTAAATGTGTACCGCCGCTGTGAACTCGCTGTGGCAGGTGCTGGCAGTTCAGCAACCGCATTTGACAGAAACTCTTACCTCTTGAGGTTTCACGGTAGCCTTTGACCCTTTGCGATCTTGGTTCAGGATATTTATGTTTGAGGGGACGAAGCAAATCAGAGAACCGTCTCCTGAAACGCCATGAATCTCGTGCACACAGCTTCGAACAATGCTGTCTTTGCTATATCCTCAAGTGCGATGGTACCACTAGAGCATGGGTTACGAAAGAGCATATGCTGACGACCAATGTTTTAAAACCTTCAAATGAACTCAGAAGGCTGGTTCAGTAAAACAGCCCAAAAGAGAATGGAACAAGAATTCGAAGCCTATGTCGCTTGGGAACCACGCACTGGTTGCAGACCAGTTGGAGGACAATACAAAGTGTGGACACAACTCGTTGAGGCAGACCTGGCCGTGACGACGAATGTTGCCACTGTCGCACGGTGCACATTGTCTAATATCAGTCTAAGAACCACGTCAAACCTCAGGAATAATAAATTTGGATCACGCTGTTGTCTAAACTTTATGAACCTCAGATGACATCGAAGAAACAACAAGAAGTAATCCGAATACAGCCATCTGTAGTCAAGCGTTGAACATCAGCATCGAAAATTTCTACACCATCAGAAGACCAAAGCCATGGAGAATTGAGACATTTGCAGATGCATCGATCCTCCTGTTGTTTGTTACACGTACCATGGTTTTCTGAATGTTTTCTCATGCTAATCGGGGCACGGAAGCAGGCAGTGGCGGGTGTTGTGATTCATTGGTATGAAGCAGTGATCATGCTACCGCATGTTGTGTGGGGGGGCGTATATGACGACATGCAAGTCTCAGTCAGCTGAACGTTTTCCACTGCATTAATACCCATCTTTCGCGCAAATGCTTTGCGGGCAAGTTACCTGATGTCGTCGTATCATATTGTGGTTATTGTGTCTAATCCATGGCTTCACAGGTCGCAATCAATATAAATGCCTGTAATTCGCTTTCGTTTTTTCTGGGCTTAGTATCGCATGCTAGATGTGACGAGGTGAAGCGCAACTGAGTTCCTTAGCAGAACCCGCATTGTAAGAAAATTATTCACTTGGACCGTATCGCATTGCCCCATAGAGGTATGAATTCTGAACGAGATTACTAAATCCTTAAGGGAGTTCGAAAAGTTACTTAGCAGTTAACTCAACAAAATTTATTAGATCAAACGGTACATATGATAAACAGCTCATCAACTGAGATCCCCTGCAGGACCGATAGATTGAATAGGATTCACGCTGCATTGAATTGAATTGGTGCCATATTTGCCGCAGTGCCTACTAGAAAGCATGGCAACAGCAGATCGTAGCAGCCTGATGCGAAACAGTTAGAAAATATGTTGCCGACCGATAACGTCTCAGGTAAGCGAGCTTGAGAAATCTGAAATACCGCTGTAAGGTCAGAAGGTGAACGTTGAATCGTGATTGATCAAATGGGTTTTTACGACAAATATGGCTTTTAATTTAATTGGTTTAAACTGACATCCAATTTAGTTGATCATTAATAGTAATGTGATCAATACATTCGTATTTGGTAAAGAGGTATGACCGTAATGCCTTCAGTGTCGATCGATACTGAATGCAATTTCTGCCTTGAAATGACCTCTCTTAAGACCACTGATACGCAGAGATCGTCAGGGATTATTTCGGAGTCCATTTGTATCACCTGCTACGTTTTGGACTGTTTCTTCTTCAGAGGTGTGGCCCATTCTGTAATAGATCATAAGCTGCGTTCAAAAGTGTCTGCTCCATTTTGAATGCAGAATAATCTGCCAAAGCTGTTGTGGCTTTCTGAACGAATTGCTCTCAATTAGTTTTTGAATAAGCCAGGAATCTGCACTCACGCACAAGTTGAGGCGCATCTTTGAACAAAGTCATTGTGTCCTGCATGTTTATAAAGTACCGCAGATTTAGCATATGCAGCGTTCACCCCCGTCCTCACTTTCTTAATGCAACTCTGGATAATCAAACAGGACACCAATTCTATTGTACCTGAATTACGTCAGAATTGAAAGATTCCGTCATCCGCTACCAGTTGCAGCAATAGCCGAAATGCGTAGCTGGAAGCCCGGAATGCATAAATGGCTGATTATTTATAATCTGTCACTCATATCTGGTATCTCAATGGGTAGCCATATCTGTGTTAAATCCCATTCTATGATTGGTCATTCATTTACTCCTTCCATAATTAACTGTTTAATTAATCAATTCAGCTATTCATTCGTTCATGATCACAACCATCCGGCACGTCGTGCAGCAGCATCAGGAGATAACTCATTTTGTCCGGTCCTCTGCCAGTCGGTAATCTCCAACAGCTAAACTGAAAGGCGTAAAGATGCGAAATCTACAGTATAAACATGTCATCCGGCCTTTGCTCTCTTCTTTGGTCTCTTCCATGTGATTTGCAATGAACGTCTACACTTGGATCTCTCCCTGGGGATGAAGATTCGTAAGTGAGGCAATCTTTCATTGCCGTGTTCCAAAACTTGTCGAATCTAACAACACACCAGCAACCTTTCGAAGAAACCTCATTTATATATCGTATGTCGAAATATCTGTGAGGAGGTACAGCAGACTTGAAAAATCGTAACTTGAATGACAAATCAGCTTTTTCGTAATCACCATAGATGCTTTACATCGTTCACTATTGCGTTCGTGAGAAAAGTTCATAGGTCCATTACCATCCATCTGTGGGCCTTAATCATGAGTGGAATCTGAAGTGATAGGCCTTTCCCCGGTATATGAAACAGACATAAATTTCTTTTCATATTCATGACTCATAGGGATAAATGATTGATCTACAGTCCTGTCCATGGCAATGGTCGATTCTGTGCATATTCACTTGTTGATGCAGAGATTGACCATTCACAGCATCGAGAACATACAGGAGTGTAAAACAATGCTGCGGCTTATGGCGCACAAGAGGTTCTCTGAAACAGCTGTCACTAACGAATCGCATTCGTTTGTGAGACTGGAGGTAAAACCCACGTAGTAAAGGCACGATAATCCGGAAATGGTTATAACCGATTACCTTTGTCGTCGCCACAACAGTACAAGACAAATCATGACGTGAAAACACGTTGCGTCATCAACTGTATGGACAGGAAATGAGATTTTCCTGATTGAGTTGGACATTTCTGACGACTAAGAAGCACCAAGCAATCGAACGCTTTTAGCCGATGACACAGCGGTTACGTCAGCGTTCTAAAACGGTCACACTGTTTCGTCCTGGCTAAATGCAGGATGGCATCAACCAACTGCGTTCCTGCAGTTGCGTCCTCTCTTAAAATGTCCCCTGCTTTCGGCTTGGTCAGTAACTAGTGGAAAAAGTGTGTTTTTATGGGCAGCAGCTTCGCTGCGTAATGAATTTGCTGGAAGAAATTAAAACGTTTAGCGGATGTGATTGCACATAAGAAGTTCGTTTTGACGATGACAGAGAGGTTCGTCGAAAAGCAGAGCAAAAATATTTTGCCAGGTTCAAGTCAGACCGCCGCTAATAACGAATAACGAATAACGAATCGGCATGGCTCGCCACTGCGCAGCCGATCGAGCAGTGCTTAAATCGATTAGCCTCTTCGGCTGTCGCCGTATTGGCGTTATTTGACCCCGTGGGGACGATTATTTTCAAATTAAAGCGCCTCGCAACCAAGTGATTGACGCATTCATTACAGCCGAAATCAACTGTCACTCGAAGCATCATGAAGCAACAAGGTCGTCGCGTCATCCGCCCATATGCCGGTCGTACTTTCTTCCCAGTGAGGCATGATCACCGCGGGACCTGAGGTACGGTTCAGGTGAAATTCGCATAAGAGGCTCTGAAGAATTTTGACACGTTCATCACGGTTTTCATTCTGAGAACTCTGATCTTATACTTTAGTTTCATTCGCATAACGGCAGAAAAATATCCAAACAGGAAGTTTTCAGCGTTTTCGGCGAATATACACCTTTCGAGGTTGCAGATGAGATCCGCGGACGATTGTGATTCGACAAGAATCAAAGAGATCTCTGATCAAGAGTAAATGCACGATTGCAATTCTTGTCAAATGGCGAGATCGTGATGATTGAACTAAAACACCGGCCTTCTTCAATCCACCCGCTGCCGTCCTCGGCCTGACTGGTAGGTGACAGCCTGAGAGTCTACGGATACTCATCAGAATAAGGGGCAGAAAACGATGTCAGGAACTGGCACCCGGTTCTGCAAACAATTCGGCTTA